CCCCAAAACCCCAAAACCCCAAAACCCCAAATGAAAGAATTTATTTCTGAGGAGTTATGAAATCAATTTAAACTTATTCAATCAAGACCTAATTCTTTGAGATATTTATCAATCTCAGCATCAGCATCCAACGCTGATTTTTTAGTTTTTCCTTGAGATACTTTTACAACACCTTTAACTCCTTTCTTGACAGCAGGCTTTTTGCCATTCTAAGGGAAAATCTTATCAACTTTGAATTTTTCTTTCTATTCCTTTTTTGTTTATTAATCTTTCTATTTTATTTCTTCTATCATCTCTCTAATATACTTCAAATCTTGATGCTCTTTTTCTTTCACCTTTTCATATCGTTTGAAATCAACTACTGGTATGTTTGGCTTTGTTGCTTAAATAGCTTTGTCTATATCAATATTCAGCTCTGTCAATGGTTAATCGTTATAAAATGGATCTTTGCTAACTTTGTCTGGAAATCTTTCGACTTTATCCTTATCCATATTTACATTTCCCTTTACTTTTTTATCTAATAGCTAGGGCTCAATTATAACTTCATCTGGCTCTAAACCTAATTCCCTTCTCATATCTATTTTAAATCTCTCTTCTTTTTTACCAAAATCATAAGCTACAACTTTTTTATCAGCAGGATCATTTGGCCTTATTTCTCCATAACTCAAATTATTAACATAGTACTCATCATCATCTATGTGTTTCCTCTCTTCTCTACCAACTTATTTATCAAAATCAACAACAAGGAATTATTTCCTTTTTCTGATTACATCAATGTTTGGTTCTAATATAAGTTCTTAGTGCATATTTATATCTTCTGATTCATACTTTTCAGCTTCTCTTGGAATTTACTTTTCGAAGTCTACTCCCGGCACTCTTTTTCTTATCTTATCTGGATCAAGAATAAGTACATCCCCTTCTATATCCATCTCTTTCAAATGCTCCTAAAATAGAGATAAACATATTTATACAATATACTGGATCAATGTATATCTCTCTTCCTTAAGCTTTAGAGAAATCGATTGGAAATTTAGTTTCAGGTCTGTCAGGGTCGTACTAACCAACTGCTGGTCTTTTTTCTAATCTTTAAAGATGTTCAACAAGAATATCATGAAATTCTTCCTTCTACTTAAATTTCTCTGGACTCATATTTCTAGCAAATGCAATATCCTTTGCAACTTACTCTCTAACAGCATCTAGATCGTAATCGTAAAATTTCCATCTAGGGGGATGCATTTCTTTCTCAGGAGTATGCTCTGGTCTTAAATCTTATAATGGCTCATAGTATTTGAAAACAAGCTTATTTGGTTAGACTAAATCGTACTTTGGATAAAGTAAAGGTCTATCATCTTCCTCTTCTTCCTCATTTATTGGATTAATAGGTTGTTTTATTTTAACGATACCAAAATCTGGTCTCCTTTCTGTAAGGTTGTAAGAGACTTTGTATGATGTTGGTCCTAATCTAGTTTTCTCATACTCTTTAAGAAGCTCTGAATCTCTGATGTTATGTTCAGGTAAAATTGCAATCTATGGCACTCTATTTCTAATCTAGCTTTCATCAATAATAAGTGCTTTTCTTCTATCAGGAGAAGGAGTTCTCTCACCTTTTTTAGATTTAGGAAATGTGTATAAAGGAAGTTTTGATTTAACTTTTCTATCATCTGGACTATAGGTGTAGACGTTTGGTCGTCTTCTCTCCTCTAGGGCTCTTTCAATAGCTAAAACTGATTAATTCTTTTTGCTAACAATCTTCGGTCCTGGAACTCTTTTCTCAACTGCTGCGAAAGATGGATTGTGATAAATCTACCTCTGTTTAACTAAATGAGGGTTTTTTCTTAGCATAAACCTTAAGTATCTCTCTAGTTCAAAATCAGATAACTTTGATAAAGGAATAGGAGCAATACTGATTCCTTGCTTTTGCTTTTTCTATAAGTAGGCTGCTTCTGAAGCTTAAGTACTGACTTCTGACAATCTATCAGATTCTTTTGAAGGTGAAAATTTTGGTAAGAGTTCAGAAGGTTTTGGATTAGGTTTTTTAATGATAGTTTTACTAGCATGATGATTAGATCTAACTGCATCTATATTTGGGTAAAGCATAAATCTATCATCAGTTTTCTAGATTTTGTTATCCTTTATTGTAAGTTTTGAATCTACTTCCCTTTTCTACTTACTGAAAGAGAATCCAGTGCTTTTTTTCTCAACAAAGTCATATTTAATTTTATAACTTTCTGGACCTGGTGGGGCTTCTCCTTTTGATTTTAGTTTTTGTTCCTTATCAAAGGCTTCCTTGAGTCTTTGAACCTTTTCAAATTCTTTTCTCTTTGTATCATCTGCATTTAACCCAAGTGATTGACTATTCTTCAACTGTTTCTACTGCTTTTTCTATGGACTATTTTTTATAGTTATATTAGTTGATTTTGAACTTATTTCATCAAATCCCATCTAAATGACAAATTCAATGATCAATATTATACCTCTTTTTCCCATTGATCCTTGAAATTAAAAAAATCCTTCATAAATTCTTAATCTATAAAGATTTATTCTTATATAAGTTACTTGACATGTGACTTTCTTTTTCTGCCATTTGAATTTAAATCAAATTATTTATCAAAGCACTTTAAAGTGAAGAATTATTACTAGGGGTTTTGGGGTTTTGGGGTTTTGGGG